CGTTGTGTTTGGTTTCTCCTTTGCTCCGACGTCGCCCGAGTAGTTCGAACGGCTTTCGGCCCCATGTCCTGACGTGTCCAGTTGCGCAGCGTGCGAATGTGCAACAAAGCAAATCTTCTAGTGCCGGTCACCGGCATCCAACGCAACTGCGAATGATGGGGAGGATGGGGCACGATGCCAGATGTTGCGCAGGCGCGCTTAATTTGTCTGTCTGATGTCCCACCCCTGCCGCGGGCGTTCCGCGGTGGCAGCGGGGCCCCCAGAAAAGGGGCATTTGCTGCGACGAACAAATGCCCGTCATTCTGCAGTGCCGTCGCCCTCGCCGAAAAGTATCACAGGCCGCCCGAACTCCTCGCGCGTCGTCGACTTCGCAGCGCGGCGTCGAACATTGCATCAACAAATTCACTTGTCAAGCCTGCGGGGTCGCCCAGCCTGACTGCTGCCTCCCCCGGCATTGGCAGAGCGGGTCGGCCTCGGGCTGCGCCCCGCGCCGGACTCTGATTGGAAGCGCCGCGCCCGTCGCCGACGGCGGCCCGCCTGCCGAGAATGCTACCCAGCTTTGATCTTTCTACGCGAGAAGTCTGGTCCGTTCACGCCCGAAGGTCTCCGGGAATCCGAGAAGTAGGCGGGCTATCTGTCAAAGTATTGGTGGCGATCGATGCGGAATCGGCATGGGAACCTTTAGCTAGGAAGACTTGGAAATGCCGACCGAACGCGCGCTATTAGGACATTAGGACACACCCATTGGATGCGAGAAGTGATAGAAGGAGGTGTCGTGCGCAACGTGCAGTGACATGATTCTCGTGGCATGACCTGCATACGGACATGCCGAATATAACATTGACAGAGAGCTGTTGTTGGACGCAATACTTGGCAATCAGAAGTTGACACGCGAGTTTGGGACCTTTTTTACGTTCCATGGCCACGCGCATTCTGACAGCCTCGACAACGTTTGTGGTGACCATGGCACAGTAACATCATTTTCTGTTGTTGTGTGAAGGAATGCGGTGCTCCCATCTGTTGAGCACGCTCCTCGCCGTATCCTATGCGAGGGAAAGCTGTGCTCCTGAACTTTTGTTTGAGCATGTCTGATTTGTTGTTCTTGCCGCCATTGTGTGGGCGCTTCTTTTTGCGCGACGGGGCCAATGCGATCCCAGCGCTGTGTGAGCGTTTCAGACAAGGAACGGAGTTTCACCAGATTTCACGTTCCACATATTCGTGTGATTGTCCATAACCGTTTTGTCATTCGCGCTGCCCGCGCCGTCTTTCCCTGCCCATCACCGATTCCATTGCTGCTGCCAACGCAACGTTTTTTTTTTTGCTCGGGAGATACGCGCCTGTCTCTGTCTCGCCCCCCCGATATTAAAAAGGGGTTTAGTCTTTGTTGTTTCAGGGTGGGCTCATGTACGTGGTATCCCCCCCGCCGCCATTTGGGGTTGCGGGTGCCGAAACGAATGCGCGCCATATGTGCCCAGATATTGCAGTATCTCCATCCGATTTCCCTCCATCGCCACCCTTCGTATTTCACATTCCACACATCGCACATGGTGTATTACCGACGAGAAGGATGCTCTCGACGAGTAAGCGCTCAAACAATAGGAAGGTGAATGGGGGATGAGGGCGGCGATATGGGCTCAAACCGTATACTGGGAAACCTTATCGTTGCCTGGGCTTGCCTCGTCGCCGATGAAGAGCCCAGCGGTTTGGTGATCCACCCTGTTCGCATGCAGGTTGTCTTCCACAATGTTCATGGTTTTGAAATGATTTGTTGCATGACAGTTTCAATTCGTATCTGTATATGAATGGAATAACCATATTACGCGCAGCATAGAATGTAATCGTTGCTTCTGTTCCGAAATAAAAGGCTTTTCGTCACCGTATGGAAATATCGCGCGCCACCACATGTGCAACATTTTCGTGCATCTCCATCTCGCCAAACACAGCAGGCAACATCACGTTCTGGATGATGATGAAAACATCAGGTGGTAGGTGCGCCACTTTCTGAAACACAACGTATAGATACATAATATATATATATACATATATATATATATATATATATATGTACGTGTCTATTTATGTGTATGTATGTATGTATGTATGTATGTATATATATATATATATATCTATTGATGTGTGTGTGTGTGTGTCCGTGTGTGCGTGTTTCTCGGTCTAGAAGGTTGACGCCATTCCGCCGACCCCCGAAAAAGGGCGCATAATTGTGGAAGCTCCCGGTATCCCGAACAGCCCATCCCAAATCGATGCCGAGGCGAACCGTCGGGCAAAAGGACGCATATACGTGCACGCGCAGTGAGACAACACTTCCGGCAGAGTTCAATGTAGAGAGCTGGAGTTATCTTGGAATGTGTTGGTGCCTGTCTGGGAGCCTGGGAGGCCCTTTTGGGGTCTTCGTGGGGGCCCTGGGATGCCTTCTTGCAGCCATCCTGGAGGCCTTCGGTCCCAAAAGGAAAGGTCCTGAAATCAGGCCCGCCTGCTTGAAACTCGAAAAATCGTCAGTTTGGCCCTCCCGTGGCGTGCTCTTGCGGGTTCTTACAGCAAATCTTGGAAACACTTTGAGGCACCAGAATTCCATCGGAAGGGGCAAGGCGAGACGACCAGCCAGTCATCTTACACATCATTTCGTCCCATGCTAGCGGGGGTTGGCGGATTTAAATCCGACGTGACCAGTGTTTCGATTTTTTCTCCAAATAGGTTTGCCCTATATGAGTCCTGGCTCAAACCCTACTAATTGGTCCGTTGCCCCCCCCTAATTCCTATGCCCCCCTAATTCCTATGGCTATGCCTATGCCTATGCCTATGCCTATGCCTCCCCCTAAGCTCCTATGCCTACGCCTATGCTTATGACTGCTTGCTTGCTTGCTTGGTTGCTTGCTTGCTTGCGCGCTTGCACGCTTGCTTGCTTGCTCGCTCGCTTGCTTGCTTGCCTGCTTGCGCGCTTGCTGCACGCTTGCTTGCTTGCTGAATTGCGGATTCCAAGCATGCTTGATTCCTCTGATTCCTTGATTGGAGTCGTCTAATCTATTTGGAGTCAACGCTGGCTGATATCATTGCTTGTTTTCGTCATGGAGCGTCCAGATCAGAGGGAGGCCCCGCTTTGGCTTGGTTCCCAGGAGTCGGGCGGGTTAAGCGTGAGCAAACATCGAAGTGGCATACCAGATGAGAGTGGGTTTAGGAGCCTGATGATGGTGACGGTGGTGATGATGGTGATCGTGATAGGGGTGGTGCTGAAACAGGCGTTGACAATGCTGGTTGTGGTAATGTTGATGGTGGTGGTGGTGGTGGCAAGGACGATGCCGAGGAGGATGATGGTGATGATGGCTTTGATCATGCTGGTGATGATGCTGATGATGCTGCTGACGATAATTCTGATGGTGGTGATGATGATGTTGATGATGGTGGTGGTGATGATGATTTTTATGATGTTTATGATAATGGTGGATAATGATAATGATGATGACGATGCGGCCGATGATGATGTTGATGACGATGATGATGATGATGATGATGATGCTGATGATGATGATGATGCTGATGATGATGATGATGCTGATGATGATGATAATGTTAATGAAGATGCTGCTGATGCGGCTGATGATGGGTGTGATGGTGATGGTGATGGTGGTGGTGGTGGTTGCAGTGGTGATGATGGTGGTAGTGGTAGATAACGATGGTGATGGTGATGCTGATGATGATGAGGTTATTGTTGTTGTGTTGATGCGGATGATGATGATGTTGATGATGCTGTTGATGGTGATGCAATTGGTGATGCTGATGATGCTGATGATGATGACGATGCTGATGCTGTTGATGCTGATGCTGATGATGCTGACACTGATGCTGCTGATGATGACGCTGATGCTGGTTACGATGACGATTGTGATGATGATGATGATGATGATGGCGATGTTGATGATGACGGTATGATGGTGATGATGCTGATGATGATAATGATGATGATTTTCATGATGATGAAGGTGATGTTGATGCCGATGCTGATAATGATGATGATGATGATGGTGATGGTGATGCTGATGATGATGCTGATGCTGATTATGCCGATGACGATGATACTGATGCTGATGATGCTGATGATGATGCTGATGCTGGTGCTGCTGCTTATGCTGATGATGATGCTGATGCTGCTGATGAAGATGATGATGATGATGATGTTCACGATGCTTATGATGATGATGATGATGATGATGATGTTCATAATGAGGATAATGATGCTGACGATGCTGATGCTGCTGATGATGCTGATGCTGATGGTGGTGATGATGATGCTGATGCTGATGCTGATGACGTTGATGGTGACGATGCTGATGCTGATGATGATGTTGCTGCTGCTGATGATGATGGTGATGATGATGATGATGACGACGATCATGCTGCTGATGCTGATGATGATGCTGATGTTGAAGTTGATGCTGATGATGCTTCTGATGATGGTGATGATGCTGATGCTAATGCTGATTACGATGATGCTGATAATGACGATGCTGATGATGCTGATGATGATGATGATGGTGATGCTGCTGATCATGTTGATGATGCTGCTGCTGATGATGCTGATGATGCTGATGATGCTGATGATGCTGCTGCTGATGATGATGCTGCTGTTGATGATGCTGATGTCGATGATGTCGATGATGATGATTATGATGATGATGATGATGATGATGATGATGATGATGATGATGCTGATGATGATGATGATGATGATGATGATGATGATGATGCTGATGCTGATGCTGATGAATGATGATGATGATGATGATGATGATGATGATGATGATGATGATGATGATGATGATGATGATCGGGTTGTGTTTGGGGTGATGATCATTAGGATGAGGAGGAGGAGGATGAGGAGGAGGAGGAGGAGCAGGAGAAGGCGGAGGAGCAGGCGGAGGAGGAAGAGGAGGAGAGAGAGGACATGAGGGCGATGATGACGATGATTGGTAGTAGGATAAGGAGGAGGGCGGCAGTCGAAGGGAGCCAGGCCCTGGTTAGATCTGGTGGTGCGCCGCGCCCCTGGCGCAGGCTGAGTCCGCCCCGCCGGCCACCTACGCGGCTCCCGCGGCACCCGAAATTGGGGGCGTCCTCCGCGACGGGCAGCTCTGCTCCCTGCTGACAGGCCATACGGGGGAGCTGTCGGGCGACGGGATTACAGATATCCACCGCCCCAGGCCAGGTCAATCTTGGGCCCAGGATCGGCGTACGCGCCCTCCTGGCCTGGCCAGGGAGGCATATATACACCGCTCCTGGACCCAGAAGGGACCTGGCCAGGGGTGGATACGTATGATTAGACCTCGTCGCCACAAATTATACCGCTACCGCTACCCTTTCCTGGAAGGCCTTTGTCGCCACGCATGGGCTCGCCGCGCGGAATCCTGATCAGAACGCAGCCAGGGAGAGGTCTGGGGAGTAGCAGTATTGTCATCACCTTAGGTTGTCGTTCCAGGAGGAGGACGGGGAGCAAGAGAGGGGAGAAGGGGAGCAGGAGGAAAGAGCGGAGCGGGATAGGGAGTTGCCGATCGAGCGGGGATGAAGGAGGGGAGAGGTAGAGGGGCGGGAGGAGTGTGGGGGGAGGTGGAGGATGGAATGAGAGGAGGAGGGTTAAGGAGGAAGGGGGGTTGAAGGAGGCTGGAGAGGTGGAGGAGGGGCTGAGGGAGATGGAGGGAAAACAGAGGGGCAGGACAGAGGGAAGAGGGAGGGGGGAAGAGTGGGGAGGGATGATCTCTCGAGGGAGGTGGGCGATGAGGCGGAAGAGGGGGTGGACAGAGGCGGGATGACTGGAAGGAGGTGGAGATGGAGGAGGATGAGGAGGAGGAGGCCGATGAGGAGCCTACAACCCCTCTGGACCTTCCAAGAGCCCCAGGAGATCCGTAGAACCCCAGATGCGCCCCGTAGAGCCCTCCTCGAGCCTCCTCGTGTCCGATGCAGGAGCGGGGCTGCCGCCCCGGAGTCTTGCGACGCCCCCGCGCCGTGGTACCCCCGCCGGCGCCGTGCGCCTGCGGAGCGGGGTTGCCCGACCGTGCGCCCCCCGAACGAGCTTGAGCCTCCAGGCAAGACCGTCGCTCCAGACTTCGGGCCTGTCCCTCTGCAGGGGGAGTATTCAGAGGTAGTCAACAAATACTCTGGGGACTATGTTTCGACCTTTATTGTTGACCATGTTTGAGCATTTTTGGGGTATGTTTTGTGTTTTCGTCTAACAACCGCCTGTAGGGGGACACGCCCGACCCAACGCCAGCGGGGTTCCGCCGACCCCCTCTGGCTGGCCCGTGGTCTGGGAGCCACGCGGGGCCGATGCTCCTTCTGCGCCCTCCGCCGACCCGTGGCCTGGGAGCTGCTGAGTGGCCGACTGGGCCTGCCCAGGCTGGTGCGTCCCCGAGGCTCCGCGGTGCCCGCCTGCAGGTAGCCCTGCTGCTTCAAGATGGGCATCGGTGCAACGGGAGCAAGCAAGCAAGCAAGCAAGTTCCCCCTGGAAGAGGAGAGTCATCATGCAAGCGGCTCGATCGGTCTGGGATTCAGGGCGGCCTGGACAGCAACTTATCCGTGGTGTTTCGCCGCCTTCCTTTCGATGCCATCTGCAGTCGAGTCTGAAACCATCCGCGACATACCCTGGGCGTCCTATCCTTGGCCATCTTGTTATCCCTCTGCGCTCCCTGGATCTCTTGCACCCTCATTCTCGGCCTGTACCACCGATATCGACTCTGTCTGGGGATCGAATGTGGCTGGCCAGGATTGGTGTCGGTCACTTGGATCAACATCCTTGAAAACGGATCCTTGGGCTGGCCAGCCGTTCGATTCACGTCCGACCCTGACAACGCAGGCCCTCCCCCGAAGGCCCAGAGGAGGAGGAGGAGGAGGAGGAGGAGGAGGCCAAGCGCGCCAGCTGTCGGAAGGGGCTCATGTCCACGTACCTTCACTGTCCGCACCAGTGAGGCAAACACAACATTGCAGAGGGAGGCGGACGAGGAGGAGGAGGAGGAGGAGGAGGAGGAGGAGGAGGAGAAGTGGGAGGCAAGGCATATCAACGATTCTGCAATAAACCCTCACGTCCCAAGTTTCCCCCTCACTAGTCCCCACACGCATTCTGTTTCACTGCGCGAAGCGCCCCCCCTGGAAGGAAGAGCGCCCCCGTGAGCCCGCAATTCCGGCGGGAGCTCCGTTCTCAAACAAGCTGCCCTCCAACCCTTCGAGCTGAAAGGAGCGCGACAAGGTGGGAGATGCCGCTGCTGATGCTGGTGCTGGTGCTGGTGCTGATGCTGCTGCTGCTGCTGATGATGATGATGACGATGCTGATGATGATTCTGCTGCTGCTGCTGAGGATGATTATGCTGGTGACGATGCTGCTGTTGCTGATGAGGATGCTGATGACGACGATGCTGGTGAAGATGATTACGATGATGCTGATGCTGATGCTGCTGCTGATGATGATGCGGATGATGATCCTGACGATGCTGAAGATGGTCACGATGATGCTATTTTTGATGTTGACGATGACATCGATGATGATGCTGCTGCTGATGATGATGCTGCTATGCTGGTGATATGATGATGCTGCTGCTGCCGATGATGATGATGATGATGATGATGATGATGATGCTGATGATGAGGATGTTGATGTTGCCGATGATGGGGATGCTGATGCTGACGCTAATGTTGATTACGATGAAGATGATGTTGATGATGGTGATGGAGCCGACGCTGGCGGTGATGGTGTCATACCGCTGCTGCTGATGATGATGATGATGACGTCACAGATGCTGCTGACGATGAGGATGAGGATGGGGCTGATACTGATACCGATGATGGTAGCGATCGCGATGACGATTATGATTATGATGCTGGTGATGATGAGGCTGTTGATGATGCCGATGCTGGTTTTGCTAATGATCCTGACGCTGTTTCTGATGATGGTGTTGGTGATGATGATGGTGGTTCAGATGATGATGATGCTGATGATGATGATTCCGATGGCGATGATGATAATGATGATGCTGATGATGCTGATGATGCTGATTCGGCTGATGATGATCATGTTGATGGTGATGGTGGTCGTGATGATGATGCTGACGCTGCTGCTGCGGATGCTGGTGATGCTGATGATGCTCATGCTGCTGATTATGATCGTGACGATGCTGCCGATGATGATGCTGATGACGATAATGCTGATGATGATGCTGATGACGATGCTGTTGCTGATGATGTTGGTGCTGATGCCGATGATGCTGATGATAATGACAATGACGCTGCGGATGATGATGCTGCTGATGCTGATGATGATGATGTTGCTGATGATGATGCTGATGATGATGATGATGACGGTGATGCTGATGATGGTGCTGCTGATGATGCTGATGATGATGCTGATGATAATGATGATGCTGCTGATGATGATGATGATTATGATGATGGTGCTGATGGTGATGATGATAATGATGATGATGTTGCTAATCATGCTGTTGCTGATGATGCTGCTGCTGATGCTGATGATGCTGCTGATGATGCTGCTGGTAATGATGCTGATAATGATGCTGATGCTGATGCCAATGATGATGATGATGATGATGATGATGATGATGCTGATGATGCTGATGGTGCTGCTGATCATGATGCTGCTGATGATGCTGGTGATGATGAGGCTGATGATGGTGATACGGGTGAAGATAAGTATCATGATGATTATTATGATGATGGCGATGAAGGTGAGGGTGGGGCTGATGATGCTGATTTTGCTGCTGCTGCTGATGATTCTGATAATGATGCTGCTGCTGATGACAATGATGATGATGATGATGATGATGCTGGTGGTGCTGCTGATGATGATGCTGCTGATGATGCTGGTGATGATGAGACTGATGATGGTGATACTGGTGAAGATAACTATCATGATGATTATTATGATGATGGTGATGAAGGTGATGGTGAGGCTGATGATGCTGATTTTGCTGCTGCTGATGATGATGCTGATGCTGATGATGCTGCTGCTGACGATGCTGATGATGATGATGATGCTGTCGTTGATGATGCTAATGCTGATGGTGATGATGATGATGATGATGATGATGATGATGATCCTGCTGTGGATGCTGATGCTAATGCTCATGATTATGATGGTGATGCAAATGACAGTGATGCTGATGATGCTGCCGCTCATGATGATACAGATGATGCTGAGGCTGATGACGATGATGATGCTGATGACTAGGGTGATGATGCTGCTGATGATGATGATGATGATGATGATGATAATGATGATCATGCGGGTAATGATGGTGATGATGAAGATGATGCTGATGCTGATGCTGTTTGTGATGATGATGCTGATGAGGATGATGGTGCTGATCAATGATGATGATGCCGATGATGCTGATACCGAGGATGATGATGATGATGATGATGATGAGGATGCTGATGATGATGATGATGCTGATGCTAATGATGCTGCTGGTGCTTATGCTGCTGCTGGTGATGATGAGGCTGATGCTGATGATGCTATTTATGATGCTGATGATGCTGCTTATACTGATAATGCTGCTGATGATGATGTTTTTGATGTTGATGATGCTCATGCTGAGGCTGATGATGATGACGATGCTGATGCTGATGCTGTTGATGCTGATGATGATGATGCTGATGAGTATGCTTCTGCTGCTGATGATGCTGATGCTGATCATTATGCTCACGTTGCTGATGGAGATTTTCATGATGGTGATGATGGTGCTGATGCTGATGATGACGAGGATGCTGATGCTGATGAAGATGATGCTGATGATGCTGCTGCTGATGATGAAGATGATGATGCTGATGCTGATGGTGATGGTGCTACAGCTGATGATGATGCTGATGATGATGCTGATGATGATGATGATGGTACTGCTCATTCTGATTATCATGATGATGATACTGCTGCGGATGATGGTGATGATGTTATTGATGCTGATGATGCTGATGCTGATATTGATGCTGATGCTGATTCTGATGATCAGACTGCTTCTGATGATGCTGATGGTGATGATGATGATGCTGACGCTGATGCTGCTGCTGCTGATAATGATGATGCT